TCTCCCTCTTCCGCGGGTGGGAAAGGCGCTGCGGCTCGCTCACCGTAGGCTCTGAGGCGGCTACCCAGGGCCGAGCCCCCTCCTCCCCCGGCAGCCTGACCGAGGCGCTTTCCCGCCTCGCGACTCCAACCTCCGCACCAGAGGCCTAATCGGGCCTCCCTCCCTCCCGGCGCGGCCTGGCCGGGTCGAGTAGCGCCGCCCCCTGAGGAGGGGCCAAGGGGCGGGACTGCCGGGCAGAGAGCAATGCTGGCGCGAGGCGGGCGCAGCGCAGGTGGCTTGTTGGTGCTGGGGCGGCTCCTCCCTCCAGCGCTGGGAGCACAGTGAGTGGGAGCGGCAGCCCGTGTGGCAACCCGGTACGGGCAGGGCGCGGGCGGCTGATGGCCTCTGCGAGTGGGATTGCTGCTGCTGTGCCGCACGAGGCGCCGCTCCTGGAGAGGGGAGCCAGCGACCTCCTGTCTCAGGGACCGGCTTCACAGCAGCGTTATTTCCAAATACCATAGTGTGCGCGTCTACACAGCAGTAATGTCTATATGGAGGAGTTCTTACGCTGGCTCCTGTAACCATAGAGGTGCGCAGCACATTTCATTAGGGTGTGCACCCAGGGAATTCTATTTTTTATTGGCGAAAATTTATTAACTACTCAATCATAAAGGACATGCTGTGAGCCAGGGCAGGCTTTTTATATATTCTACATTCGGCACTTAGAATCATAGAACTGGAGGAGACCTCAGAAGGTCATCAAGTCCAGCCCCCTGCCCAAGGCAGGACCAATCCCAACTAAATCAACCCAGCCAGGGCTTTGTCAAGCCGAGACTTAACCACCTCTAGGGATGGAGACTCCACTACTTCCCTAGGTAACCCATTCCAGTGCTTCATTACCCTCCTAGTGAAACAGTTTTTCCTAATATCCAACCTGGACCTCTCCCACCACAACTTGAGACCATTGCTCCTTGTTCTGCCATCTGTCACTACTGAGAACAGCCTCTCTCCATCCTCTTTGGAACCTCCCTTCAGGAAGTTGAAGGCTGCTATCAAATCCCCCCTCACTCTTCGCTTCTGCAGACTAAACAGACCCAAGTCTCTCAGCCTCTCCTCATAAGTCATATGCTCCAGCCCCCTAATCATTTTGGTTGCCCTCCGCTGGACCCTCTGCAATGCGTCCACATCCTTTTTGTAGTGGGGGGCCCAGAACTGGACACAATACTCCAGATGTGGCCTCACCAAAGCCGAATAAAGGGGAATAATGACACCGCTTATTATATAATACAACAATCTATACCTTTAAACTAAAAGAGCGTATCGTGTGATTAAATTAAAACCCAAAGCCACTTTTTTTTGAGACATTAGGGTGTGCCTGGGCACACCCGGCACACCCCCTGGGTACACCTATGCCTGTAACTCTCATTTCAGGAGGAGTAAGGGAAGTCGAAGGAAGGGTGCTTTTCCTTTGACTTCCTGCAGTGTAGATAGCGCCCAAATCCAAACTAAGCTATTTCCACTTCAGCTACACAATTGATGTAGCTGAAGTTGCGAATTTCGACCTTTGCCTCAGGGCCTGCCGAGCCGTTCGTGCGCCCCAGGAGCGCAGTGCCACCCCCAGGAGTGTGGCGCATGCACGGCCTTGCCCCTGGGCACCCAGTGTATGCGTGGCCTTGTCCTGGATGCCCACTGCATGCACAGCCCCTCCCCGCCTGTTCCGGCAGCCCCACGCGGTGTCCCCTAGAATGGGGCGCCCCGGGTAGTAGCCCGGTCATCCTGTAGCTTAGGCCTGCTCTGCTTTGCCCTGCAGTGTAGTTGTGCCCTTAGCGGCCACAACCCTGAGTGGCAGAGTGGGGCTGGTGTGGGGGAGTAGGGCTATAGTCATTAGTAGGGGATGGTGGCTGGGGTGCAAGGAGCAGAGGTTGTGGTCACAAGTGAGAGATGGTGCGTGGGGGCAAAGAGCCAGCAGGGATGTGATGACTCTTGTGGAGACTTGATGTGTGCCTGTGTGAAGGGAGCGGGTAGGCACTGCCTTTGAGGGAAAGGGGCTGTAGTAGATGCTGATGTTCTTAAAGGGGGGACTGTGTCTTGGCAGTGCAGTGAAAGAGCTTTTCTGTGGAGAGAGCAAGTTCTCAGCCTCTGGCATGGGCAGAAACCTGTGGAAGGGCATGTTCTTGAAAAGGGCTGACTTCATCTCTCCAGGTTCCAGGGCTGAAGTTTCTGAGGCCTCATGTTCAGAGGGAGAGAGTGGTGTTTAATCAAGTTAATTCAAGGGAAAATCTCAGTTAACTTGAGTTAGCTCACCTATGTTAAGAGCACACCTTTTCTCCAGTAAAAGTCTTTGGGGGCATGAATGGTAACAGTTTAACTTTTTGTGGGATGATAAAGACCACTAAAGTGGCCTGTGGCTCAAGCTCAGTCCTCTCCCCACTTCTGCCCTGCTTCCCTCCCTCTCCCCACAGCAGGGAGCCCATGCTGGCACTCCAGCCTCACGCCCCGCCCCCCCACGAATTTGGAGCACCAGGGCACCTTCCTGCTAGGGTAGGGGGTGGGATAGAAAGCCCTGAGCCTCCCCACTAGATCCAGTTCATGGGGAAGAAGCAGAGCTAGAGGTGGCTCCACACGCTGTTGCTTCCCTTCCCTTTCTCCCAGCTGTGAATATAGCAGCATAGGCACATAGAGGCTTTTCCCCGCTGCTCCCATTGGCTGGAATTGTGGCCAGTGGGAGCAGCAGGAGGCCGTGTCTGGGATATGGAGCTTGGGAATGGCGTGGGGCGCAAACGTAAGTAAATGCCTCCCCACCCTTTCATACCCAGACCCTGCACCCATACCCTGCTCCTGCACCCTCCCCTTGCCAGACACCCAGCCTGCTACTGCACCCTCCCTCCTAGCCACACATTGCACCTGCCCCTGCTCTTGCCTCCTCTGTCCTGGCCAGACACCCTACTCCCATCCTGCACCTGCACCTGCACCCTACCTCCCACACACTGCTCACCCCCTCCAGCATTCCACCTCCCATCCAGATCCTGCACCCACATCTTTATCCAACTCACTGGCAGCCTTGTCCCACACACTGAACCCCTGATTTTTGTCCGCCCCCCCACACCCTGGGGGGCCCACAAAATCCACTAACCCCGGTACCCCAGAAGAGTAAATCTGGCCCATGGGAATCCCTGAACCTCAGTCTTCCCTGACACCCCCCGCTCATCCCATGGGGTTGGAGCTCCAGAGAAGTGAGGTTTCTCATTTGGGTGCCCCGTCAGTGAGGGTTGAAGGCTTAGGCAGGGGGCTGGACTTGATGACCCCCTGAGGTTTCTTTCAGCTCTATGATTCCATGGTTCTATGGAGGTTTGGGGAGGGGTTTCTTTGCTTCTGAATTGTGTGGTCCCCAACTGATTTTTCTGTGGGTCATTGGCCCCCGGTCCAAAAAAGGTTCTCCACCCGTGCCATAAATAAATAAATCATTGAAACCTTTTGTGTTAGACATAAAATTAATATTTTACTTTATTTAAAATAGGCCTGGGCAAAGTATAGCCCATGGGCTGCATCTGGTCTGCCAAGCCACCTGATTCAGCTCCTGGACACAGTGGGGAACCCCAGGCAGACTCCCTGCTTGCCTCGCCCTACCCATGTGCAGAAAAGTGGCTGCCAGGCCGTTTTTCTTTCAAAACTATGAACCAGGAGTGGAGAAGGGAAAGCTTCAGGCTCTGCCCCTGCCTCCAGCACAATCCCATTGACTAGTTTCTGGTCAGGAACTGGTCAATGGGATTTGCCTGTTTGAATAACAGGCTGCACAAGAAGCACCATGCCCTCCTCCCCTCCAGCCTGTAGTTATTCTCACAGGTACGTGGCCCTGCAGCCTGCGTGGTGGTTGGGTTAGGCAAAGAAGTTGCTTCAGAAAGGTGCTGGGCTGCTGGATGGGAGTCACCCAAGTAAGTCTCCTGGACAGAGACTGCCTCTGGCATTCCATCCTCTCCTTTCCCTAGTCCTCTGTCCCGCCACTCCTGCCCCCCTACTCCATATACCTAAACCCTCTGCCCCCCTTCTGCACCCATATCTCCTGGATCCAGTACTCCAATCCCCTGCCCCAGATCAGAGTCCCCTTCTGCCCTAAATCATACCCAAACTCTTACACCCCAATCCTCTGCCCTAGGTTACAACCCAAACCACTGCATCCCAGACCAGTACCCCAGGTCACAACTGTCTCCTTCACCCAAACTCCCTCCCAGACCCTACTCTCCATCCTGTATCCCAATCCTTTACTCCAAGCTTCCTTTTGCAACCAACCTCCATCCCTGACTCTGTACTTCCTCCATGAATATCATGGAAGAGTGCAGCCCCTAACCACTTTCCAGAATCTTGGAGTGCCCCCCCCCCATCAAAAATTATTGCCCACCACTGATTTAAAATGAAGTTTGATAGACTAACATGAGAAAGTTAAAGCATTTAATTTATTTAATAATTTAATATTTCCTTTCTTACTGGTTAACTTAAACTGTTCTCCCTAGTGGCAGCACTAGCAAAATGGCAGGTGTGTTTATGTAATTAGCGGTGAGTTTCTATTAGCAACTGGTAGTCCACAGAAAGGTTTGCATTGAGCCAGGTGGCCTACAGGCCAAAATTTTTGAGAACCACTGGTTTAGACCAATATTCTGCATGTGGCCTGCAAGGCTGTTGTTTATTGTTGCCAGATTCTGCTAGTTTCCTTTCACAACTTTTTTTTCCCTACTGGTATTACTAAAGTGACACTCACTTAAAGCAAAGGCACATTAAGTGAGTTGTATACTGATTGTACACAATGTTGACTGTGAGAGCCATGCACACCTTCTGCATCCAATTAAAGTGATGCTAAGGTTAAATGAGCATGCCCTGAAAATTCTAGGTGTGCAAGCGCAGTTAAAAAACCTCCCGAGATAGGATAGTTTTGCTAAGTTAGGACAATCTTGTGGCCCACTGATATAAAGGAGGGCTACTCATGTGGTCCACTCACTAGCCTAGGTTGCCCATTGCTGGTTTAGATGTAAAGAAATGCTCTGAACCATGGAAGATGGGGTTTGTTTAAACTTGAAAGTTTTACTTTTTTAATGCTTAATGGTATAAAAATGCACATACTTTTCAGGGAGCAAGGTAATCAATAATTGATATAATTGTGACATGGACTAGGGCTTATACTGTTGTAACTGTATCAGTCAAGGAAAAAAAATACCTGTAAGAACTTACGGCATTGGGACCATAGGGATTCTGTGCTGCTGCATGGCTAGTAGAGACTGAGGCTGGGCTGAGGAGGACTCTGTGAGGGTTGCTGGGTTTGACAGGACATACTGTGCAGCCGGACTTGAGTGGTGGCACTTTGCAGACCACTGGTGGCTAAGAAACTAAGGAAGGAAGGCATCTGAGCAGAAATGCAGATGGCCTGTTTCTTTCTACTCTAAACTCTGCTTGTGATAGACCCTAGTTTCCAGCTTCTGATCTTTTTTGTCCTTAGCTTTGCTCTTCCATTACTGTTTATAGATTTAATCTGAGGAAGTGGGTCTGGCCCACGAAAGCTCATCATCTAATGAACCATCTTGTTAGTCTTTAAAGTGCTACATAGTCCTGTATTTTGTTTATAGACATCTGATCCTCATTTCCTGGTAACTTGCCCCAGATTACAACTGGATTTCTCTCTGGCCTGTCTTGGACTCTGACCTTCTGCTGATCTTCTTGGTTCTGCTCTGACTAAGAAGTCTGACTACCATTGTCCAGTTGTGACACAGACACAGTTGTGGGATATTAACTCTTCTAGTGTAGGCAAGGCCTAAGTGACTGTCAGAGCCGTGCATGCTCTCTGCATCCCCAGGAGAGGAGTCAGCATCCGGGAGCTGGCTCCCTGTGTGAATTGACTGCCAGCCTGCTCCTCGGGAGCATGCTATACTGTGGGTTCTGTAGTCTAAGCTTTATAATACAGAGCCCGCAGAGTGTAACTGCTAAGCGGTTACCTAATTAACTGTTTTTAAACATCCCTACATCAATGATATAGTTAAGAGAGTTTGTTTGTGTGTCTGTCTGTTTGCAGCCGGGGGACATGTTACCCTCTCCTGGCTATGCCCACTACAACTCCACCTGCCATTGACTGGCACTTCTTACCTGGTCCTAAGCTGCTGTGGTGACAGAAGGCTGGAACTGTCTCTCTTCATGGGGCAGTTTGCATCCTGAATCCCTAATCCCACCACAGCCTCACCTCAGAGCAATGATTTAAATAAAGCAAAACAAAAATGTATTTCAGTTAAGGACCAGAGCAAAGCTGGGTAAATTCTCTAGTCAAAAATAAATATAAAATGACCACTGTACATTTTGTATTCTCTGGTGTAGTTGAAATCAATATATTTGGAATTGTGGTAAACACATCTAAAATATTTAAATAAATAGTATTCTATTATTGTTTAACAGCGTGGTTAATGAGATAATTTTTCCCTATTATTAACCAAATGTTTGTTTGGTGAAAATGTAAGGTCCCAAAATATTTTGACTTTTGGTCCTACATGGCTAGGTTTGTTTCATATACGACTGTGTGAGGAGGAGATCTTCAAAGAAATCAGACACGTTCCATCACTGGGAATGTGGAATCCTTTAGTGAACTTAATTTTGTAAACCACATTACAGATGTAATATATCTTCCTTCCTCTTTTGATCCAGGGTTTGGGAATTTGTGAGTTTGTTATTTGGAGTGATCAGTTCTCTTTCCAAATAGGATTACCATTGGAGAAATATGTATGATCAGTGTTTTGAAAATAGTTTTAATACAAAATAATACTTTTAAAAAATTGCTAAAGAAATAATGTAGAGTAGTTGATTATTTTATTTCATTAACAGTCAAGTCAAAAGTGTGCTCTTGAAGAGATTTAAAGAGATTTGTATGCATTATTTAGCCAATTAGATTAGCCTTTATAATGGAAGGGTTAAAATAATTAGATAGTAAAGATAAGTAATAAAACACAGTATTTAAATAGAACCCTTTAAAAATTTGCAAGAACTTTGCTACAAAAATAATGTAAGAGCTGCCCTAGTTATAGGTACATTTAATAAAACATGTCTTGATTTTTTAGATTGTACACTTACAAACTATTCTTTGGGCCTATGGCTTTCCTGGCTGGTGAGGACAGATTGCTGGTTTCTCCTAACTTTTGTTCATGAAATGAAAACTCGTTTCCAACAATTTCATTTTAATAATTGGTCAATATTAGGGATATTACATATCAGTTAATTGAATAATTGATTAACCTCATGAATTTTTATCGGTTACTCGACTAGTCTATAGACCCTGGGGGTGGAGCAGGCAGCCAGTGTGCTCAAGCCCCACTACTGAGGAGCCCCCTGTCACTCCGTGCTGCTGCCTGTGTATCAGAGGCAGCAGCATGGGGTGCCAGGTGGAAGTGGGTCCACGAGGGGAGCCAGTTTAAAAACCATCTTCCTGCGTAAAGTGGCTGCCTGTTCCCCAGTGTCAGTAGTCCCTGTCTACGGTGGAGTCTGAGCTCCCAGATGCAGCATGAACCAGAATTGAGCCGGACTGTCTGTCCGCCTGATTCCTAATACGCTTTAAATGCAGAGCCACTGTGGGGGTATGTCCTGGACCCATCACAAGTGAGAACTGATCAGGGCTGCCTGCCCACCTTTCTACTAATACATTTTAAATGCAGAGCTGCAGGAGGGGTAGGCCCCAGGTCTGTCACAAGTCAAGACTGAGCCAGGCTGCTGGCCAGCCTCCTAAAAAATTTACTGGCACGGTACAGAGGGGCGGAGGGGGAAATGTATGTAGTCTGCAGCATTAACCTATAAGCTTTTGCTTATCGGTTAATCGATTATACTCTTACATTCCTAGTCAATATTGTATGTTCTGTTGCGGGGTAACTTATATTTCACATCAATCCTGAAGCTGAAAACTTATTTAATTTTTTTTTATGAGATAACCCTGAGTACCCATATGCCTCAGTTCTTCTTGAGTCTTTTCAGGTTGGGTACAGACCTGTATAAGGGACAAAAAATAGTCCTAATTGCATTGGTAGATGATCTCTTCCTGTTGATGGATAAAACGTCCATGCTGATTTTGTTAGATCTGTTAGCTTTTGGCAGTGTGCTGATCATAAAGTGTTAATTGACTTGCTCTTGGATTGTGGGAAAAGGGGGATGTGCTGTTCTTGAATGGCTCCATCCTTTCCTTACAGAGCATACCCAGAGGATGATGTGGGGCAATTGCTCTTACTACTTAAAAAAAATGTTGTGAAATCTTCTTCTATTCAACATGTGGGTGATGTGGAGAAATATGACCTGAAGTGCTTTCAGAGTGCCGACAACATCTAGTTGTATTTCCATTTCACTTGAAATTCTATTGAACACCTAGCTGGGGAAGATATGAACAGTTGTGCCTCTTTATTTTTAATGTTTAAAAGGTATTAAAAATCTATAGTTAACTGTGTATTAAAGATATTTTAAATTTTCAAGTAAACTTAGTTCTAATTTTTTCAGAACAAGTACTAGAACACAGTAGATAATTACTTGATAATATTGGTATGCAAATAGAAGACCAATATTTAAATTGTGCTATTACTGTATTTATTTGTGTATTTCCTCTAAGGATTTTTATAAGTTTTGAAAACAGTTTTACAATATGTTTCTGTTTCTTATCAGGTTGCTTTTTCTGTGAAAGGAAAATTATGGGCTCTGAAGAGAATAACACTGAATTGTATAAAATAACCACTACTCAGCAAGTAATTGCCTCTTGTTGTGGAGCTATTGTTACATCACTGCTGGGTAAGAAAATATTGACTAAACTTAGCATAAAGTAAATCAAAACTCTCTTTTGCTTAGACAATTTTAAAGGATCTTTACACATTTATTTTACATATATTTGTTCTCTGTGTCAGAGGCAGCAGTGCAGGGCAGCAGGCAGCTGCTCTGTGCAGGGAACTGGTTTTTAAACTGGCTCCCCTCATGGACCTGCTCTGCACTGCTGCCTCTGATAGGGAATGTCTACACTTGCCCCCTAGTTCGGACTAGGGAGGCAAATGAAACATACCGAAGTTGCTAATGAAGCGCGGGATTTAAATATCCTGCACTTGATTAGCATATTCGCAGCTGGTCGCCATTTTAAAATGCCGCCATATTAAAATGCCCGAATTAACTCGTCGCCTGTAGACGCGGTAGTCCGATTGAATTAACTGTCAAGGGAAGGGTTTTGGATTGGACTACCGCGTCTACACGGGCATTTTAAAATGGCGACCAGCTGCGAATATGCTAATCAAGTGCAGGATATTTAAATCCCGCGCTTCATTAGCAACTTCGGTATGTTTCATTTGCCTCCCTAGTCTGAACTAGGGGGCAAGTGTAGACATACCGATACAGAGGCAGCCGCATGGAATGGCAGAGTTTTCCCTGGGAGAGGGGTCGGAGCACACTGCTGCCAGCCCTGCCTCTGGGGACTATTAAATAGTTGTGTAACTGCAGTGGTGATTATTTTTTGGTTTTTGGTAAATTTCTTAGCATAGGTGTGACCTATGTCTACTCTGTCATATTTCATTAATCCTCGTCTGTAGCTTTTAGTATAGGAAAAACCTGAAATTTTGAAAGTGAAAAGAAAGCTTATTTAAAAACAAACAAGCAATAGCCAGTCCCCACATACCTGCAAAGAAGCAGAGGAGAGCATAAATCAACTGTTTTTTACTTTGCCATTAAAATCAATTAATGAAATAGAGACAAGTACACATTGTGAATATGGACAACTGCTTAATTGGTGCAAACTGTTTCCACTGTGGCATGCCATTTTAATAATTCTGCTGTGCTATTTTATACAAATTCAGCAGTATAGCTAAATGGCACTCATCTCTTGGGTTTTGAACAATCCTTTCTACATATGTTTCATCAGTCTGACCGATTACAAACTAGAAAGCAAAAAGGATAGCTGTTCACGTACAAGTCAGATGTGATATTATTAATTCTTAGTTCAGCAAAACATCTGTGAACAGCTTCTTTGTTTTCTCTGGCTGATAACTTGCAAAATGATTATTTTCTTTTTCTGAGAAATAATTAGTACAGTAGTTGTGGAAGCTCATGACATGGCAGCAAAAATGATGTATCGCTACTTTTTCAGGGCTTAAAGTGTGTTTCTCAGGAGGAAATACATGTACAATGTATTAATTGAAAAGTCATTATTTTTTCTTTGGTTTGTTTTAGTGACACCTCTTGATGTTATCAAAATTCGAATGCAAGCTCAAAACAATTCATTTGTTAACGGTAAATATACATATTTTTAAATTAAGGTATTCCATTATCTTTATAAATTATTTCCATCTTAATAATTTCCCAAATCTATTTTGTCTACTTCTGTTCCAAAAAAATGATAATGTAAGCTGTGTTTTCTCAATGACAAGTTCCAATTTGCTTATGATTTTAAGAAAAAGGTCCTCCCCCGCACCACCAGTAATTTTCAGTATTGCAGACTCAACTAGGACCAGAAAGTCCAGCTATGTGTTCTTTCTGGATTGCATGTTATTGTAATAGGTCCAGTCACTGGGTCCTCCTTAGGAATGCCACTTGATGTGCTGAAATACTACTAAGCCCACCTTCCTGCTCTCATGGGTGTCTAATTCTGTCCTGCTTAACCAGGCCCTTAGTCCTTTTCCAGCAGTGACATGGACATAGGGTCACAGACATCTACAGTATAATACAGATGCTGAGTTTAGCTCAGCTCTGGGAAGGTTCAGGTAAAGGGGCTTGCCTTAGCGTCCCAGTGCACAGCCTCAATGGGACCTAAACTCCAGATAAATCTGCGTTAGGCTGCTAATTGAACAACAAAACTTTTGTCATTCACAGGTGCTGAAAGTCCCCCTCCTGCCTGAAAGATAAAAAATTAGCCACAAGTGTCAGTGTGAACATCTCATTGTCATCAGGAGCACTCTTCTGTTGACAATGCAAAGCCGCTCCTAGGGGCTGGTAGTATTTTATAAGAACGTAAGAACGACCCATACTGGGTCAGACCAAAGGTCCATTTAGCCCAGTACTTTGTTTTCTAACAGTGGCAAAAGCCAAGTGTCCCAGAGAGAATGAATAGAACAGGTAATCAAGTGATCCATTCCATCACACATTCCCAGGTTCTGACATCGTTTTTGCCCATCTTGGTTAATAGCCATTGATGGATCTGTTCTCCATGAATTTATCCAGTTTTTAAAAAAAATCCGGTTAGTCTTTGCCTTCACAACATGTTCTGGCCAGGTTGACTGTGTTGAGTGAAGAAGTACTTCATTTTGATTGTTTTAAACCTGTCACCTATTAATTTCATGTGGTGACCCTTAGTTCTTGTGTTATGGGAAAAAGTAAATAACTTATTCATATTTAAATTTTCCATACCAGTCATGGCTTTATAGACCTCTATCTTATTTCCCCTTAGTCTCCTCTTTTCCAAACTGAAAAGACCCAATCTTTATGTGTTGTTCGTATTAGGTTAACGGAGCATAAAATGTAAATCATAGAATCATAGAACACTAGAACTGGAAGGGACCTCGAGAGGACATCGAGTCCAGTCCCCTGCCCTCATGGCAGGACCCAGTACCATCTTGACCATCCCTGATAGATGTCTATCTAACCTTCTCTTCAATATCTCCAGAGATGGAGATTCCACAACCTCCCTAGGCAATTTATTCCAGTATTTAACCACCCTGACAGTTAGGAAGTTTTTCCTAATGTCCAACCTAAATCTCCCTTGCTGCAATTTAAGCCCATTGCTTCTTGTCCTAGTCTCAGAAGGTAAGAACAATTTTTCTCCCTCCTCCTTGTGACACCCTTTTTAGATACCTGAAAACTGCTGTCATGTCCCCTCTCAGTCTTCTCCTTTCCAAACTAAACACGCCCAATTCGTTTAGTCTTCCTTCATAGGTCATGTTTTCTATACCTTTAATCATTCTTTTGCTCTTCTCTGGACCTTCTCCAATTTTTCCACATCTTTCTTGAAATGTGGTGCCCAGAACTGGACACAATACTCCAGTTGAGGTATAATCAGCTCAGAGTAGAGCGGAAGAATGACTTCTCATTGTAAAAGCAGGCTCTTTTCTGGCCAGGCCTCGTGCGCATAGCCTTCCTAGCCCAAGATTACCTTCCCCTCAAACCAAAAATCTTGCACTATGTGACTTAAGATCAGTAAGAAGCAGGAGTAAAAAACCAGGCAGGTAAGGGTCATGCAAAGTTTGCGCAAGCCAAGAGCCATCACACCCCCTTCCCTAACCCCTCAGTCCTGTCACTGGGCAGACAGAATCTATTAAGCCTAACACAGCGAAGTGCGAGAAAGCTCTTGCTCTCTCTATAAAGCAGCTACCCCTCCTGCATCCAGTTGAGGGTTCCCGAAAATTTGGAAGGCAGAACATGAGCCAGGTTCTGAGGGCTGATCACCCAAGGTGCCCCTCCCGCTCACCGAATCAACCAAATCTTCTGCAGAGTGTAACGAATAATGAATATGCTGTTGTCTCTGTTGTTCCTTGTATGTCTGATAAGTGTAAGTATTGCTATGTAAAGTTAGTTAGAAGTTTGTTAAATAGTACTGTTAGGAGTTTAGATAGATGTTAGAGCTTATAAGTGAAATTAATATAAATATAACTGTTAAAAATCCCTGGGTTGTTATTGATAATTATTGGGACTTGGAAAAACCTCAGGGTATCTTCCTCTATTGCACTGCAGTTTGTTTACTGTTTCTGTTAATAGTTATTTGGCGCCCATGCCTGTAAAAAACTGTTAAATAGAAAGTTATAGTTAAAAGCATTTTAATAAAAGTTAAAAGATATTCAGTACAAGGTTGCCTGTTTCTGCACCTCCCCGGGGCTGGCCACATTCCTGAACCTTCCACTTTATATCGACACTCGTGTCTCGCTCACAACACACCAATTAATGCATCTCAGAATCATGTTTGCTTTTTTTGCAACAGCATCACACTGTTGACTCATATTTAGCTTGTGGTCCACTATAACCCCTATATCCATTTCTGCCATACTCCTTCCTAGACAGTTGCTTCCCATTCTGTATGTGTGAAACTGATTGTTCCTTCCTAAGTGGAGCACTTTGCATTTGTCTTTATTAAACTTCATCCTGTTTGCCTCAAACCATTTCTCCAATTTGTCCAGATCATTTTGAATTATGATCCTATCCTCCAAAGCAGTTGCAACCCCTCCTAGCTTGGTATCATCTGCAGACTTAATAAGCGTACTTTCAATGCCAATATCTAAATTGTTGATAAAGATATTGAACAGAGCCGGTCCCAGAACAGACCCCTGCAGAACCCCATTTGTTACACCTTTCCAGCAGGATTGAGCCAATAATAACTACTCTCGGAGTACGGTTATCCAGCCAGTTATGAACCCACCTTATAGCAGCCCCATCTAAGTTGTATTTGCCTATTTTATTGATAAGAATATCATGCGAGACCGTATCAAATGCCTAACTAAAGTCTAGGTATACCACATCCACCGCTTCTCCCTTATCCACAAGACTGGTTATCCTATCAAATAATGCTATCAGATTGGTTTGACATGATTTGTTCTTTACGGATCCATGCTGGCCATTAACTATCACCTTATTATCTTCCAGGTGTTTGCAGATGAGTTCCTTAATTACTTGCGTCATTATCTTCCCTCGCAGAGAAGTTAAACTAACTGGTCTGTAGTTTCCTGGGCTGTTCTTATTTCCCTTTTATAGATGGGCACTATATTAGTCCTTTTTCAGTCTTCTGGAATCTCTCTGGTTTTCCATGATTTTTTAAAGATGATAGCTAAAGGCTCAGATATCTCCTCTATCAGCTCCTTGAGTAATATGCCCCTTTACACAACTATAACATTTTTAACTGGTTCGAAAGGAAATATTATTAATCAAAATCATTAAACAGATTAAGCACTTTAACTCTACCATGTTTAGTTTACCAAAATTTGCTTTAAATTAAATTAAATTAAATTAAATTAAATTAAATTAAATTAAATTAAATATGAATGTATGTCCAAACTGAAAGTATCAACATTATATTTATTTATGGCATGGGTGGAGAGCCTTTTTTCAATTGGAGGCCACAGAAAAATCATTCAGGGGCCACACAAGAGTTAGAAGCAAAATAATCTCCCACTCCCCACTTTCACTGGTTTGGCCTCTATCTGAGACACTTCACTCTCCTCATCCTTCAGTCCCATGGGAGTAGGGGGAGCACAGGGAGAGAGGTTCAGGGCTTCCCACAGGCAAGATTATCTCTGATGGGGTCCCATGACTAGATTTTGTAGGCTTCCCTAGGCTCTGGGGTAGGACCAGAAATGAGGGGTTCAGTGTGTGGGAGGGGGCTGCCAGGGAGCAGGATAGGGATGGGTTGCAGAGTCTGGATAGGAGGCAGGGTACAGGAGTGAGATAGGGGTAGGGGTCTGGCAAGGAGATTGAATGCAGGAGCGGGTTGAGGTTGGGGGGGTCTGGGCAGGAGGTAGGGTGCAGGAACAAAGGTGGAGGTGTAGGATCTCAGTGGGAGGGTGTGAGTGAGGGCGATGTGGCTGCTGGGTCTGGGCATGAGAGGTATGAAGGACACTTTTCTAGCTCCTCGCACTCTGCTGCTCCCAGACAGTGCCCTCTGATGCTCCCGTTGGCTATTATTTTGGCCAACAGGTACAGCAGGGAAAGCTTCCAGGTGAGTGGTTTCTGTGCTGCTGTTCCCCTAGATGGGGAGAGGGGGAGTGGCAGTGCGCGGAGTCACTTATGGTCCGTGATGCTCGGAGCTTCGCACTGTAGCGGAAAGCTGGTGCTGGCACTCCAACCACAGTAGGGGGCAAAGCTGGAGTGCAAACGTAGGCTCCCCACTGCAGAGGTGGGGGGTGAGCCTTGTGCCAACTGCTCACCTATAAGAGGGTCGCAAACCACTCTAATCTAATGACACTTCTATCTGAAACAGTTCCTCAGATTTGTCACCTAAAAACAAATGGCTCAGGTTTGAGAATCACTCTCACGTCCTCAGTTGTGAAGACCAATGCAAAGAATTAATTTTGTTTTTCTACAATAACTGCCTCATTTTTGTGTAGTTCCTTTTTCTGAAAGTAAATGCCATAATGTTGGACTGCTGTGGTGTTTTCCCTGCCATGGGCATGTAAAATTTAATAATATTATGGTCACTATTTCCAAGTGGTCCAGCTATAGTCATCTCTTGGACCAGATCCTGCATTCCACGTAGGACTAAATCAAGAATAGCCTCTCCTCTTGTGGATTCCAGAATTAGCTGCTCCAAGAAG